CAGACTATTTAGACAGTACTTCAGTTTTGGTAGTTACCTCAGCGATGGTGAGGACACAGTACATGGATGGGTGTTCAGGGTCGATACCCTCCAGTCTCATGCCAACCCTAAAGCCACTCTTACACTGCGGAAACGACTGATACTGCACACACACACACACACACACACACACACAGAGAGAGTACAGTTATTCACTCCTTATACAGCTCGAGATGCACCAGCAAACAAATGTTCACTAATACAGACGGCTGATAATTCTTACAGTGTATTCAGAAAATATTCAGACCCCTTCATTTTTTAACATTTTATGTCACAACCTTATGCTAAAATGATACACTTCATACCCCATAGTGACAAAACTGTGATAACTTTGCACATTTATTACAGGGTTTCTGCAGGGTTTTCTTAAGACTTTTTAAGACCAAATACAGAAAATATAAGGAATAAATTGAAGGGAACAAAATACATTAATACGGTCCCTAAATGTAGATCTAGTGTGTCACTATTTCAGGGAAATTGCTTTTTTTGTTTTAAGCACTGAAGTGTCCAGGAGAAGGTCACGGCACAATTGGCAGACTGTTTCCAATCTGCAGCATGCAAAGAGGCTCTTTTTTCTGAAAGGCTGCAGTAGCAGCAGGAAATGCAGTGAAGATTGTGACCACCGTTGATTGGTGATGAACATGATGCAGTGATGGAGCCTATAGAATGCAGTTATATGCTCTACAATTCTAGAGATTGGGGCAAAAATGCCCCTGCATGAGATTTTGTCTCATATTCATATAATATGATATAGTTAAGTAATATTATGCAAGCAACGAGAGCAATATCATATGTTTTTGTCCTTAATAGGACAAGTTCAAATGTGATACTGATTTCATACAACAGTTCAATAAATAATAAAGTGTTATATTTTAGACACAATATTGTCTGTTCTTGCTCAATTTTGCCAACAAAAATATTACCTATAAAGCCACAGCAGAACTGTTGTGCATCTCCGAGCAACAAACAGAGGTGATTCGTTTCTGAATGAATCCATGTTTTGAATGAATCAGGTGAATAAAGATTCAATGGTCCATTCATAAAGAGAGCCGTTTACTTCATTCCTGAATGAATCAGACGTTTTAAACGAATCAAATGAATGAATGACTCAATGACTTACTCATTAATCAAGACCCAACCGCCACCCACTGGCAGTTTACGTTTCTTATTTAAAGTGTAATTTTGTTTTAAAAAAATTGTATTTCCATATCAATTACAAAAAAAAAAAAGTTCACCTAAAAATGAAAATTCTGTCATAATTTTGTCACGCCTGTGTCATTTCAAACCTATATGACTTTCTTTCTTTTGCAGAACATAAAAGACAATATTTTTTTAAAGTGTTGGTAACCAAACTGTGTTGGAGCTGCAATAAATGGTCTGTAAATATTTCCAAATACCAATTCAGATGCAGCTTAAGAAAAAAAAAATCATGGCCGTTGTAGCTTAAAAGTTTATGGGTAAAAAAATTCTGTTGAATCAAATAAAATAGTTATTTCTAAAGCTAGACCTATGTTTTGCAATGTCTACTTCATGCTTTTCTCATGTAACACAATAATGACTTCAAATTATCTTTTGGGGGTCATTTCTCAGCCAAATTTTATACGCGATTAATTAGATTAACTAATCATCGCATCGCATAATTAAGTAGATTAAATCGCTTGACAGCCCTCAAAAATATAATCCATATCAACAAAAACTCTATACTGGTGCATCACTAGATATTCATGTATGAATCAAGGTGGAATCAAAGGTAGTGTTCTTTCATAACAGTGGCACTGAACATTAGCGTGTGTTGTCTCACCTCCTTGAAGAGTTTACTGGGGGCAGCGATGGCTCTCTCCTGCTCCAGGTATGAGGCCCAACACCACGCCTTCTTGCCTCCATACGGAACCGCTGCATCATGGGAAACAATTGCAGGTGTCATAGAGTGTCATATAGGTGTCACAGCCATCTGTGAGTGTGTGTGTGTGTGTGT